CTCATCCTGAGGCAAAGTTCTTAACCCGAGGTACTACTTCTGGGTTAGCGGAGTCTGTAACCTGAAGCGTATGTAACCCGAAGTAACACTGTAATAAATGTACAGCTTCTCTGCACTTCAGGTAGATGCTAAGGTTTCTGGAATTGGTGGTAAATGCTTAATTCGGTTTCTGTGACTTTACTTTCATTCCTTTACTTAGTTACTACAGTTACTTAGTTATGTTACAGTTACCGTATTTTCAGGCGTATAAGACGACTGGGCGTGTAAGACTTTTCCAGTTAAAATACAGAGTTTGGGATATACTCGCCGTATAAGCTACCCCTCTCCAACGCACACCAAATAAAATTTTGAAAAACCAGTCTCCAGTCCGGCTCAGAAATCTGCTCCACTTCCCAGTGGCCGGGGGGGGGAGGGGCCTGGCCAGGTCCGTTTAAACAGAGGAGCGAGCCAGAGGGCTTCCTCTTCGGCTCGCTTCCTCAATCGCTAGGATGTCGCTGAACTTCGCTCAGTTATTGCTTTTGTCGGACCTGCTGAAGCATTTGGGGGGGGGGATTTTTTACTGCTTTTGTTGAGCCACTCTTGTGGAATTTGCTTGGGACGTGGAATAGCTGACAGGCACTGTTTTAACCCAGGGTGGCTGGGAAAAAGCTTTTATTGGACGCCCCGATCAATTGGCAGTGGGTGAGTCCATCACTGTGCGTGGGGAGCAGGGCATTTGAGGGGAGTGCTGTCTCAATTGCCGCTCTCGCTTTACAACTTTGCCGCCCTTGTGGCGAAAAAGCTTCCGGGTTTCTCCGTTCCTGGCCACCTCCCCCTCTCAGCTTCCCCTGCCCGAACTGCTCCCTTCGTCACTGCGGCTTGATAATCGGCTTCCCTCCCCCCCCAGCCGTTTTCTACCTTTGCTTGCCCCTTCCTCTGTGCCACGCTGTGCCGCGCTTAATGCTGTTGTTGGTTCCCTGCCTTTGTTGTGAGTCTTTCCTTTTACTGCAGGGGCTGCTTGGGCTGAGGCAGTGGCCACGTGTCTAGTTGCTGGGGCAACGTGAGGCTGCCATTTTGGACCACGTGGTCTACTACCAGGAGCGGTTAGGGTCGTTCTGTTGCTGCTGATTGAGGGGGCTTCTGGGGCCAATTTTCAAGTGTATTTCTGCTTCATCTAGAGAGCTTGGTGTCCTCTGATTTAATTTGCTGTTGTTTTGTCCTTTGGTGGGGAGTTGCTGCAGGAGCTGCTGTTGTAGCCGGCATATAAGATGACCCCCGACCTTTGAGAAGATTTTCCTGGGTTAAAAAGTAGTCTTATACGTCAGAAAATACAGTAAATACTTTTGACACAGCCCAGCGCCCTTCGCAGCCTAATACTTTGTTTCATGAGCGAGGGGCACTTTTCATCAATTACCCTCTCTCTTAGCAATCCCACTCCTGAGGTATTTGAATTAGTATAACATACCCAGGGGATCCCCTCACCCCGTGTTACTGGTTTGGGAGTCTTCTTTTCCTAGAACTCTCCCCTCCTGGCTAGAAGTCTGTATTCCCACAGGTTCTGCCTCTCCTGGCTCAGACTCAGCACTCCTGTCTGTATACCTTCCACAGACCCTCAACCCAGTCTTCCTATCTAAGTTGTGAGGCTCTTTCCTCTTGTTACAGATATTCTCCTCAGAGCGGATGTTCCACTCAACTCAGAACCAATTCTCCCTCAGTCAAATCCTATCCTAATCCCTATCTCCCATCTCAGATCAAGCCCTCTCTAACCCAACTCTCTCCCTCAGAAACGGCTCCATTTATTCTCCCTCCCAAAGTACTGCTGTACCCCCCTCTTGGTAGCCAATCAGAGAGGCTCCAGCACTTTGGTGTGATTTCCATGGGACTGCATTGGGACTGCATCACGTTGTTGTTGTTGTTGTTGAATTCATATACCACCCTATACCCACTGGTCTTAGGGTGTGGGGGTTGGGAAGGAGCAGTCGCAGAGATCGCATGGGTCGGGCGCATGCAGATCAGGCGTGAGGCTGATGCAAGGAGCAGCCATGGAGACCAGGCAGGTAGGGGGAGGAGAAGAAGAAGCGGGAGTCATCACCGCTGCATGGTTTGAGTAGGAGGGGCTTCATCAAGCTGCTGTCTGCAGGGCAGACAGTGGTGGCAGCCAGTGAAAGAAAGGCAGCTCAGATCAGCAGTGCTATCGGCTGAGATCATCATGCAATATCGGCGGTGCCTTTAAATTGGCTGCCCTGCTCTCCCTCATGTGAGGAGCGATATATTGCTGGGTCAAAATCGTTATTGTGGTATGCTTTCAAAACTGATTTTGACCAATATATTGAAACATTGTACAGCACTAAAACAGACCATAAAATTTGTGATATTGCCATGCAAAAATAACAAAAAATTAGTTGGGGGGAGGCAAGGGATGGCGCTGTGGACCACCTGGGTGCATTCCATGGACTTGGTCTATAGCACAAGTGGTCGCCCTGACCAATCCAAGCACCTTGTCCACATCCTTGAGCCTTACCAACTGAAACTCATCGAACACAGCAGGACTAGACTGTGCTCTGGACACCCCATGAGATTCATCTGTTATCTTGGTGGATGCAAGCAATTTTATCCTCAAAACGCCTTGCAAACAAGTCACAGCAAGTTACCGTTGGTTCTACCACCTCCTTTAGGCCAGCCTGTAAAAGGCTTCATACAACCTGAAAAAGCTCTGCTGGATGACATAATGAGGATACAGTGACAACAGCAAAGTATGCCTTCTTTGCTGCTTTCACTATCACTAGGTAGGCTCAATAATGAGCCCTTATCAGTGCTTAGTTGCATTCATTTGGATATTTCCTCCACTTGCGTTCAAGCTGTCTCCCAGCTTGTTTTCTCGCCCTAAGCTCTGGAGTATATCAGGAGGCCAAACGGGCTCCATGAAGTGAAAGAGGGTGCTTAGGAACAATTGTGTCAACAGCTCAAGCCATTTGGATGCTGATTCAGCCGATTCAGAGATCGGCCAGGACTTCGACAGGGGTGCCAGTCATATCAGCCGGGGGGAAACCCAGAGCTGTTTGGAATCCCACTGGATCCATCAGCCTCTGTGAAGGGGAGAAGATGGTGACAGCCTAAATCTCAACAGGAAGTGATCTGATCATGACAAGGGACAGGTGTCAATGTCCCTCACTTTCCAATCAACCTCTTCCTGCCCAGATGAGAAAGGAAGGTCCCGAGTGCGTTGGACCAGTGACCATGTTGGGACAGCCCCATGGTTGTCATGGTGGTCATGAAGTCCTGAGCCGCCCCAGAGCCAGCTGCCTTGGCATGGATGTTGAAGTCTCCCAGAACCAGCAGTCTGGGAGCCCTCAACACCACCTCCGAGACCAGCTCTGTCAGCTCAGGCAGGGACACTGCTGGGCAGCAAGGCAGGTGGTAAACCAGCAGAATCCCTAATCTGTCCCAACTGCCCAATGCCAGGAATGCACGCTCTAGATTCCCTCCCAACTGGACAGAGAGCCTGGAAAGAATCTCTATAGACAACAGCAACTCCCCCTATAATCGCCCTGAGACCTGTGGGTATAGGACAGAGGGTTGGACTCGATGGCCCTTGTGGTCTCTTCCAACTCTATGATTCTATGATTGATTCTAGGACGGTATATAAATTCAATAAATAATAAATAAACAATAACAACCTGTTTCTGGACAATTGCACATAATTTGTCAGCTGTATGTGCATCTGGTGTTTAAATGCTTTTTGTCATCAATATTATAAATATGGTAAGCCCCCTTTGATGGCTCCTTTGCCAATTCCTCCTCTTTGTTCTATGCCCATTTAGGGGAAGGAAAGTTCTATATAGGAAACAGTTTGGGAGGACCAGGAAAGTGATTGTTTTCAAATGTCAGCGGAGCTCCTTGGTGAAACTGACAATGCAGAGGGAGGAAAGACATTATTATTATTATTATTATTATTATTATTATTATTATTATTATCATCATCATCATCATCATCATTAATAAATCTGTTAGTCACTTTATCTTGCCTAAGGCAACCCAAAGTGACTTACAACCAAACAAAAACAAAAAAAAACCCATGGATACATTAAAAACGGGGGAAGGAAATATATTTAAAATGCGCAACCTACTTCTAAACAGCCACAGATAATAAAAGGCCACGCCAATTTCACTAATATCTGGAATCTTCCAACTCCCTTCACTTCACCTCAGTCTGGAGGAAGCTATCCAGGCAATGCATGATGCCACAGCTGTTTGAAGACTGCTACTGGCAGTGGCCTCCCACCCTTCTTCCCATTATCTGGGCAGAATGGTGACAGCGGCTGTTGTCTGTGTAAAAAGTAAGGTGCAAGAGATTCAGTTCATTCCAGAAGCAGTACAATAAAATCTTAAAGCAAGTTCTTACATCGCCTGTTGCCTCCATGGGGATGCTGATGACAGAACAGCACTAGGAAATATCAGTGAGTCAGTTGCAGGGGAGGCAATCAAAGCCCAAGAAGGGTACATTTTTGAGAGCTAGGACAAAACTGGGGAGTGGGGAATCCCCAAGCTCTTCCAATGCCCCTTAAGGGGGAAGCAAATCCTAAAGCTTTCTCTTGCAATGGAAGCTAGGGAAACTTGATAGAGTCATAGAGTTGGAAGGAACCCCGAGAGTCATCTAGTCCAGCCCCCTGCAATGCAGGAATCCTGCTCACAGCCAGGGGCATAGCAAGGGGGCTGCGGTAGGTGCAGTTTGCCCCAGGTGTCCCCACTGAGGGTGTGCGTGACAAAATGGCGGGCGGCACTCACCGCGGGGTCTGCAGCACGCCCAAGCCACGTATCTCTCCTGGGAGTGACGCGGTGGCTTGAGCGCCCACAGGCTCTGCCGTGCCCCAAACAGTCCACCCGTTGCCTCCCCCTCAGCTGTAGGGCGGCTGAGTGGGAGGAGGCAGGCAGACTCCTCAGAGGCCCCGTGGTGCCCCCATGGCCAGCTGGCCCCGCCCCCCGGGTGCAGGGCACGTGTGCTGCCCCAGGCTGCCCACAGCTGTCCCTGGGTGGGCTCAAACCACCAACCTTCTGGTTAACTGCCAGGCGCACTGAACCTTTGCACCATCTGTCTACCCTGTTCCCCCTGCACCCACCATTCGTCCTGTTCTTTGAAGGGGTGGAGATGATTTGGGTGTGTCTTCTTAAGATGTTCCTTTTTCCCCTAAAAAGGATATCTGAGCACACTAGCACTGGTGCACTTAGCAATGTGTTAATTTGAAAAGCAAACAAACTGACATTGGTAAAACTGACAGGACTTTGCCAGCACCAATTGACAGTTTCACTGCAGGGCAAGGGAAGGGCAGTAAAACAAATGACTGATGGGCAGGCAGGTAGAAAGGCAGGGCTACATGCCTAACCAACCACCACTTCGTACCTGGTGAGACAATAGCCCTATTTATCAGTTCACTTCTGAAAGCTTTATGCCGTAATCCCAGCCACAGAAGCGCTAAATATCACTGCCCCACCAACCCCATAAAATGTGACAATGAGGAAATTGTAAGAATGCTGTATTTTGGAAATAATAATCTCAGGCATAAGTGAATGAGCAAATAGTGTTGTTACTGAAGGAAAGTCTAGTGTAGAAGGAAGGATCCCAAAATGGCATTATGCATGCAAGTGTTTATAATCAAGGGTTTATGGCAGGCATAGGCAATTCCCATCATCCCTGACCATTGGTCCTGTTAACTAGGGATGATGGGAATTGTAGTCCCAAACATCTGGAGGACCGGAGTTTGCCTATGCCTGGTTTATGGCCTGTCATTAATCCCAACACATTATATTCCTTATGTAACCTAAATATATTTTTGCCTAGTTATTTAAACTACGTGCAGGATACCCTGAGTGTACTGTAGGAACTTCCACCTTCCTCCAGATGGGGTGAAAGCCCCTGCTTTTATTAATGTTGTGGTTTTCATGCCACATTTTATTTTATTATTTTATTATTTTTATTGATTGGTTAATTTATTTAACATATTTTCTTAGTGTACTATAAGCTTTCTTTTTTGTGTTACACCCAAAAAGATGGTCAATAAATAAATAGTGTGCTCTCAGTTTTCTTTATTCAAATAAGATATTCATTGTTACTGTCAATGACCAGCATAATAGGTTTTATTTATTGAAATGAGTTATAGACCACTTCCCACCCAAGCATCCTGAAGCATTTTACAGACTAAAATTTCAATCCTTAAATGTTAAAAACTTTCAAACCTATCAAATAAGTATTAATATATACATAAAATTAAACCAGGTACCATCAATGAGCATTGTCAGTGATTATACACAATATCTAAAATGGACCAGTGAGCCTGAGCAAACGAATGTGTTTTTAAGTCTTTGTAAGCACGTTACTATGGGTGCCTCCCGCAAAGCAGTTATTTCTTCCATGGCCGGCAGCTGTGTGCAAACTAAAAGAGAACAGTTGTGGTGTGAAAACTTGAAATATTTATGGACAAGAGAAACATTCAATACTTTTAAAAAATGCTACAAAGGAGAAGTTGCTGCTGATTGGGACGGAAGTACTTTGGAATGTAGCAATTATATACTCTCATTAAGATAGCATTCTTCTGGTAGCTATGTTAAGTCACCCTGAATAATTCTGAAGGCAGAAAAGCAGTCCTGCTGTTGTCAGTGCTCCTTGCAGAGGTGGTGAAATACGCGTTGAGGTAAATTCCATTCCCCAGGGGCCATCACAGGAAAAGTTCTTCACCTGTTGACCTGTGGCACAATCGAGAAGCTTAAGAAAAGCCAGAGCTATGTTGCTATGAAGGACAAATAAGTAAACTGGAACTTGATATTTACAAGGAAGAACTTTGTTCATATTTTATCATGCTGATGAGTCATTATTGCCACATAGAAATAATTAGAGAAACAGACTCTGTTCTTTTGACAGCTGCTTTGTTGTTGTTCCAGATCATCATTGATCCTGCCTCAGTTGTTGTACATAGGTTTACTTTTGTGCCAGCTGTCACATTTTTTACTTCACGTTCCTGGCAATGAATTCATTGTGTCTGTCTTTGAAAAACCTGACTGACTGCAAACCAGAGCAGTTTCTTATAGGTGAAGGGGTTTCACTTGTTTCACTGCTGCTGTGTTTGAACTCCACAGCTCAGCTGGAGGCAAGCCTCGGAACCTTCTATGCACCAACAAGGCCTCTCTCTGAGACAACTGTGTTGGAATACAGGGACCAGATCAGCAGATATGCAAAAAGATTCTTCCACCATCTGCTCAGGTGAATGACAGCTTTAATTTTTTATTAACTTCAAATTAATTACCCATTTCAGTAACCTTGTCCTTTTAATGTGGTTAGCACATTTTCTTAAAAGATTGCCCTGGGAAAAAAAGCATTTATTATCAGTTTTGTTTGTTTAGCTAGACTTTCCTTCTTATCAAGACATGCATTGTAGACAGTGCTTTTATTCTAGAAAAACGTGTCCCAGAGTACCCACAGAAAAAAGCACTGATTGTAGATAAGGCGCTGTTTTCATTTGTTTTGCTATAATCACATTTTAAAAGTGAATCTTTCCTCAGTTTTATAGAGAAGTGAGTGATTCTGTGGATATGCTCTGTATTTAGACTAAAATATATAACTGTTAGCGGGAGCTGAGTTTAATGGATACTAAAAATGTAAATTAGCGTTGTGTGGCCTAATACAATTTTTCACACTGAACTTCTAAAATTGGTCAATTTTATTCCTCACTCTTTAAATGTAATGATTATATTATCTACATTTCAGGTCTCAACCCCAACATTAAAATCAGTTTTCAAAACTGACCCCTTATATTAGGCCACTTTCTTAATTTTATGGTTAATGTACCAAATGTACCATTTAGATGCAAGCAGGTGCAAAATGTGCATCCAACCTTGACATGTCTTTAAGATCTTTTAATAGAGACCACAGAGCATTCCCATAAAGGGTTAACAGAGGCAAGGAACGACAGAGAGAAATAATTTAAGAAACTTAAATATTCTAATTTTCCCTTTTAATATATTAATCTTGAAGAGATGTTAATTGGAACAGTTTTTCTTAAGCAACCCTAGCAACAGGCATTTATAGAGTTAAAGCCAGTCATTCAAGTTAACTGGTCTAAAGAGTACATAGGAACATATAGGGAAGGTGTGGAAGGGAGGGATAGTGGGGAAAGAATTCTGACCGAAAGAGAAGGCTGAACTGAAGAGTGATGAACACAGAGCAAAGGCGGAGCTAGCTGCTCTGGCACTTGGAGCAGCGCACATGCTGTGCCCACGGGGGTACCAGCTGCGGTGAGCGGCGCGTGTCCGAGCAGCTAGCGTCCTGGGGGGGGTGCCATGAGTGACGAGCAGCCCAGGGGGTGTGCCGCCCGTGGTGAGTGGCGAGCGTCCCAGGAGGGTGCTGCCCGCGGAAGCGTCCCAGGGGGGCAGGGCGGCAATGTCAACCCCCCTCAGGGATGACACCCAGGGCAGGCCGCACCCACCACACACCCCTTCCTCCGCCACTGACACAGGGTGGATTCAGTAACTCGCCAGAAGTTGCAAACACCAGGAGAATGTCTTGGTAGTGTTTCTGTGTGGCATGGAGGTGCTTAGAAGCCATTTTCCAAGGAGGAAGAATGTGAGTTTGGGGGCACTGATAGGTTTTCTAGGAAGTTTGTAAAGGAGAAGGGGTGGGAGGGTTGAGGCTTCTTTTACAAAAGGGAAAAGAGAAGTGGCAACAGATAGATGGAAAAGATTCAAATCCAATTAGGAATATTCTGGGGCAGGGATCTTGCAAATGGTTGGATCCAGGTGGATATGAGTAGTGGTCCTTAAGGTGAATCTTTGGCACAAAATAGAATGGTAAAAAGCAGAAAAGGTGGAGGAAAGAACCAGTGGGAAGACAGGTGAAGGAAAATGTCTTCTAAAAAGTTGTAGAGAACATAGAAAGAAAGGGGATTGAATGAATAAGAGTGAACAAAGAGGAGCTGACAGAGAGAAGTGGGAATGAGCAAGGAAGAGGAAAGTGAGGGGGGGATTGTCCACAGCACTAAAAGGAAGGAGTGGGCGGGGGGGTGTTCCTTGGAGAAATTGGGAGACCAGTGAGGGAAGAAAGGGGTACAGGTAGTTAATGGACTTCGTAAGGCAGGCTTAAAGTACCTCTCCTCGTTTGTCTGTATAACTTGAGATCAAGACCATTCGGTACCTCTTTGGCAACAAAAAGGGGGCAAGAGTTTAAAAGATTGCTGTCATCTGGGGCACAAAGCATCCATTTTTATGATCAAGCTCCATTATTAAAGTAAAGCAAAGGCTATGCAGTGAGTCTTGGTGGCTCACTGGAATCAAAATGGATATAACAAATACTTTAAGTAGTGCTAACTTGGTAGTAAACTGATGATCCAGATTTTTGCTAGCTTACCAGAAGGTAAAAACTGGCATGCAGCTGAAGGCAATAGCTGCTGCCCACTTCATGGCAGGAGTCCCAGGGTCTTCTTTTGCAGTTTAGCAAGTGATATTCTGGAAAGTCAGAGGTTGAGTTTGGGGATAATGTGTATACCAAAGAAATGATGACCTTGTGTCTGTTGATTTAAAGCAGAGCCTCGTGGCCAGCGGAAGGATGAAGAATACGTGCTACATACTCTATATTGCTTTATTTACAGTTCAATGCTGGTATATTACAGAAAGACATCTTGCCTCTGCAGGAGCAGAAAATGCATCCTCTCTCCTCTCTCAGCTCGGAGAGAATCACACAGAGTGAAAAACAGGAAACCAGTGTACGTCACATCCAGTCTCCCTTTCCCGTGAGAAACTCCAACAGTACAGACTGTGGAATGTAAAACAATGTCTTGTGACTGCAGTTGCTGCTCAGTGAGGGAAATAGAAACCAACATCCTCCCCTTTCTGTGAACATCACTGGGCAGCGTGTTCGTACAGTATCAGTACAAACCCAACTTCTGCACATAGGTACAGTGTTGATCCCTTGATACAATCTTGGACAATACATCAGCAGGAATTTCATTACCTGGCATATAGGACACCGTTACGAGTCCCTTCTGAATACATTCCCTAGCATGCTGCAACTTTAATTGTAAGTGCTTTGTGCTTTGCTTACAACCTT